AGTCGAGTTGAGACCGTTGGGGTAGTAGAGGATGTGCCAGCTGTGGCCTCCGACGCGGAACGATCGGGACTTGATGTGGCTGCCGGTCGGGACATCCTTGGTGCGGGAGTAGCCGTCGATCTTCAGCAGGTGCTGGCCGCTCTCGGTGCTGGAGACGATGGCTGAGGCGGACCGCAACGGCTCGCCCCTGCTGCCACCGATGTTGGACTTGGACGCCGTCATCGGCATGGAGATCACGGCTTATTTGCTACTTCAGCTTCTCTTCTTGCACGCGCTGCATTATTTCGAGTGCAGAATTTTAGATATATACGACGAATCTTATAACACGTTAATCTTAATCTTAATTTTACTAATTAGAGGCCTCTAACGGCGCTTTATGGCTTTCTAAAGGCAGAGTAAACTCCTTTTTTTTAAAAAAAAAGAGAGGCCTTTAACTGAGAGAGGCTCCACGTTAACTTCTATGAGACGTGCTTATCTATTCTCTTTTTAAAAAACCACCCACCTCTGTTATTATATAAAATACATAAAGAAGCTCATTAAATTTGCATCTAATTTATCCACCTTTGCCATTATGAATGATAATTTAAAAATAATCTCCTCAATTTGCATCTAAATACACCAACTATGCCATTACAAAAGATAATTTAAAAATAACTCTTAAATTTGCATGTAAATTATCTACCTCTACCATTACAAAAGATAATGAAAGGTAACCTCTAAATTGCCTTTTTAATTACGTGTATCTACCATTATGAAAGATATAAGGTAAAGTAACCCCGTTTAATTGTATCTCAATTGCCTAAATCTACCACCATAAAAATTGGTGCAGGTGGTCAAAGAGACTTTTCTTTCTTAGGCACATGGGCGATGGTCTAGTCTGTAGATTGATGGTGGCTACAGTGTATGTGATCTCTTTCGTAATAATACTCCTACATGCCATGTGCTACTCAGGGAGTTTTTTCTAAGACTTGTATCAACTAGATGTATTATTTTTGAAAAAAAAATGATAAAGTCTTACTTTATCAAAAAAAAATGCGAAGTCTGCATATATTATGCATAAATACGGACAAATCAAGAAGGAGCAAATAAATAAATTTACATCCGTGCCCTCCATATTTTTAAATCATTGAAGAAATGTACGTGTCTTATAAAAATAATGAGTCCTTTTACTGTCCTTCAAGAGGTTACCGAAGGTACTATGCCTAAACATCAGAAAATAGAGTACTTGAGGTACCAAAATTTAGTACCTCCCATGTTATAAAATCAGCCGTACCTCTTGGCATCTTTTGAAGGCCCTTAAAAAGGCGCACAAAGAAATGGAAGGAGACAAAGAAGATCAGTAGAAAGTTTCACTCTTCGAAACATCACTTTCATACTGTGGGGAAGAGGCATGGCCTGGCATATGACATATAAGGGCAGCTACAACACAGCTACTAGAATCGTATGCCTCATATAAAAAGTTACACGAAGCTAACAATCTCTCAAGGCAGGCCTCTCCTCCTGTCACAAACATCACTTTCACCTTTCTCTTTACCTCTGACAGACCAGGAATAAAGCTGTGTAGACTATGGTCTCATCCACCCCAACGCGTGTTACCTCTGTAGGCAGCACTGACATACTGTGGGGTTACTGTTTTGTGTTATCTGTACACGGCGTGTATACGTGGACGTTGAGGCTACAACACAGCGTGTAGCGTTGGGGAGGCCCTGAGCGGTATGCGAGCAAGCTTTGTGAAGATGATTGACCACACAGGACCCACAAGATTGAGGGCCCCATGTATTATCTTATGTTGGCACTCAAAGTAATGCTAGGAAGTGCTAACTTATTACTATAAACTCCTCAGTATGATCTTCGGGGTGCAATTTAAACCACAATTTTCTATTAAAATGTAGTTGTAATGTCTAATAAATGTATGCGAAAATGTTGTTCAAGACAAATCTATTCATATGATTTTTATGTCTCTAAACTAAATATTTTGAGAGCTATATGTGGTCAAATTTTCAAAAGTTTAATTGGATTTGTCAAAGTGTCATATATTTATGATCAGGAGGAGTACAACTTTTCTACTTGAATTAGATTAACATGCCAAGAATGAGTAGTGAAGGAACTTGTGTGAAGCTTCCGCAATTCTCTTAGTTTCCTCTATCGTATCCTATTTTTGTGGTATTTCATGGCTTCATTTTGAGTACACCATTACGTGTTTTATAATAGCGGGGTGTTTCTTAGTCATTCTATTTTTGTTGGTTTTTTCACAACATAAAGATCTTGTTTACTAATAGACTTGGCATTTAATGGTTGTCTTTTGCTTTAGTTCTATGAAGCAGCTGCTATGTTTAGCACTTTTCCACTATTTGTTAGCATTTCCAAACAGCCTATGGCTATTTTGTAATTTGTAACAATGTCTAGTTGAGTGCATGCCTATACAGAAAACAGAATAAAGAGTATTTTGTTTTCTAAAAATAAAGATCTTATTGGGAACACAAAGATTTCATAAATTAATTGAACTTTTTGTTCTCCAGGTGGGAATGTTGGCTTAACAATCCCGTTTCTCTAAAGTAGAACAAAGTTCGTGTACTCCTTCCAATTTAGTTGTTCCTTTCTTGACATCTGTTCGTCGTTTACCATTTTTACAGTGTAATGGCGTGTTCACAGTAGTGAAAGATCAATTGCAGTAAATGAAAGGACTCCAACCAATGGCTTTCTTAAAAGCTATGGAAACTCGTTTTTTTAAAAGGAAAAAAGGGACTCCAACCATGAATTTGAGTTTGCTCAAGGTCACTCAGTGCTATCAATAATACAACGGATAAGCTTGAAGAAGATTTGGCATCAGTGATCAAATTTCATCATGCACATTTGACTGAGTATATATATGAGCAAGAGAGACTGAACACACCTGAGTCACCGAATCGAATTAGCTTAGAGAGGTGATGCAGATCGATTTTGTTGAATTTGGAGATGATTTGGCGTGTGGTTTATCGTGGCATGGTTGTGAGAGGTAGCGACACATGCATATTTATAACCGAGTCAGGTAAAATAAACAAGGCGTCTTGGAGCAGGATCATTATACTTTGTCGCAAACATAAATAAGACAGCTAACTTTTTGTTGCAGCATGTGTGGTGGTGTGATGCTTGTGGAGCGGCTTTGGTTGTACAGTGGTTTAGAGCTTAGTTTATAGAGGCCCCGTTCGGTTCATCAAAAAAAAAAGTTGAAACACTATTTCGGGCGATTTGTTGTGAGAGAAAAAATATTGTTCCAAATTTAAAAAACAAGCTGAAAAAGACGGATTATAAGAGAAACGAATAGGGCCAGAGTGGTGTATGGGTTTTAGAGTTCTCATGAGGCGGCGCGTGTTGAGGTCCCAATCTAACCGGATGTTGTCTATAGTTGTTTTAGATGCTAGTTAGTTGTTTTAGATGCTAGTTGGTTGGTTGTTACTTTTTTTTTTGTTTGCCGGGCCCTTTGGGGTTTCTTGTTGCTTTATCCGGTCTGAGTTTCTTTTTTTTAATATAATCGACAACTCACTTGCTGATTCTTTGAAAAAAAAAGACAGCTAACTTCTCCAGATTTCTTGCAAGCAATCGGCAACGGGCAACGCGTGTAAAAGAGCTGTGTACGAAACATCACCTAACGCAAGCTTCCTAAACCACAGAACCTCTGCAATCCTTTATTCCTGGCTTCGATAACCCTGGTTCTCGTTATGCCAACTTGGGAATTCAGCTAAGTCGGATGCCTTCTTATCAGTGGTTCAAGAAAGGCACAAGTTACCATAAAACTCTTTGGGAGGTTTGTTATGTTTTTTTTAGGTACTTTTGTTTCCTCCCCTCTAAAATAACCTGGAGTCCTGGGCCATTGCCTGCTGCTCGCGACTCGTGAGTCGCTGACAACCTAATGGCCTGAATCATCTAAAAATGATTTTTTTTGGGTATGGGAAAGAGAGAAAAATTTTATTAGTACTAATAGCTGGACGAATACTTTGACCAGAAGTGTGGAAATACTTGGCACCGAAACGAAACCGCGAATTGCATTATGGTGTCGGTGTGGGTAGACGGTAGTTGGGTTTGGGTCACACCACACCTCACGACCACTGAGGACTACTCCCTCGGTATCAAAAAAGAATTACGCTATTAGATACGTGTCAGTCAAACTTTCTCTAATTTGATTAGCTTTATATAAAAATAATAGCAACATTTATATCACTGCATAAATTTATTATGAAAATATATTTTACGATTTATCTAATGATACTTATTATGCATTATAAATATTAATATTTTTTGTTATATAATTGATCAAAGTTAAAAGCCCCATTTGACTGGTGAGTTTATCGACTGATTCAATAGTGTTTATTGACTGATTCAATAATGTTACGTAAGCGAGAGAACGGGACCAAAAATGTCAGATTTTTCAAAATTCAGCATCAAGCTTGCTGAAACTTTGGAATGGACAAAAACAAACATGTCTTCAGAAAGGGGAGATGCCCTTGATGCTAGATTTTTGCAAAATTCAGCATAAAGCTTGCTGAATGTTGCAAACAATGGGTATTTGATTAGGCATTTCCTTGCACTTGAACATGCCAGGGGATGAGCACTCATGTATTCATGACGAAGAATAACACCCCACTTCTCAAAAGGTGAACAAGAATTATACCCGTGTAAAATATGATGATGACGATGGTGCACAAAACACATATATAAATACCAAAGACAAAAACTGGATCATGAATGGACCATTTCACATGCACAGCTATTTCCATTCAGAAAATGATTGGTGCTGACATGCTAATGTCTGTAAAACTAGCTGTCCCACCTTCAGGATCATGAATGTCAGCAGTAGAATGGTTGGAAACTTGGCATGCTAATGTCTAATGAAATTGGGAATCAAACTACTGCTGTCGGACATTCGATGACGTAGCATCCTAATGTAGTGCTCTATGTACAACAACTTGCACATAGGACATGTACATTAAATCAGTCGCTAACACTTGAAGTTTGGTCCCAAATTAAACTGAACTGTCATAAAATCAGCAATTACATAATTGACTATAGCAGCAAATAATACATAAATGAGAGACCATATCATTCATCCCAACTACCCAAGCAACTATACTACACGCACGAATCGACAAAACATATCGATCAAGAACGCACCTCCGGCGGAACCTCCTCGCCGCCGACCGCGCCTTGCGCTTGCGCTTGTCCCGCGCGTCCTCGTGCCTCCGCCGCCGCCTGATCTCCTCCATGACGCCCGCGCGGGACACCTGCCAGTTGAACCGCCGCAGGAGCTCCTCCCCGTCCACGTCCTCGTCGCCCGCGTCCACCTTCGCGTTGTGGTACTTGGGGTTGGCCGCCGGCACCAGGGACAGCTGGGAGGGGTGGGAGAGGGCGAGGGTGGTGGCGGGGAGCGGCCGCCGCGGGAAGGAAACGAAGGTGGCGTTGGAGGAGGGGAGGCGGACGCGACGAGGAGACGGTTGCGGCGGCGGCCATGGTGGTGGTGGTGGACTGGTGGTGATGCCGGCCGGCACACATGACAGACCGAGTTTGTAGAAGGAACTGGTTGATGGGCCTGATGGGCTTGAGGTCCATTAGGCTATGTGCGTTCTCTTAAAGGATTCAGCCCACGGATCAGCCCAGTGCGGCTGGAATCTGCAGGCCGGATAGTGTTCGACGGGCACTGCGATTCCCTCCTGAAGTGATACGTGTTCTTGCATCTTGCTCCACATTATTATGCACCGACGGATCCAAAACACTTTGCAAAGGTTACTTTGATTAACCGCCGTCAATAATGCTCTTCGGTTCGCATGAATTAATTTTGCTTATACTCCAAGTTTACACAAAGATTATCGCACAAGCATATAATTATATAAAATATATGTTACTTGGTAAATGTAGCTGTCATTATAAATAGAACACCTTTTTTATTATCTTTTGGTGATATGCAAAGTAGAATGCCATTATAAGCCATGGAATTGGAAATAAAATATGGTAGTCATCAATGGACATAATCAGAGATGTCGCCATTTACATTCCACTAGAGATATCGGCTTTGAAATTAATGCTATATATTTTGAAGTTTTGGAGGATTAATCACAAGCCTAGGAGTTATTAATTATTGATAGAATACAGAATGTTTTCACCATCTATATATAGAACATTATGCAGCATGTGTATATATGTTTGTAGGACATACATACCTCTCACACAGAAGCTCCACCATATACCGTGATTGATGCGATGGAGGGAAGAATGGCTACTATAGTTGTGATGCTTATGCTTATCCTTGGATGTTTCTTGGTTCTCTCACAATGTAAGTTGAGATCATAAATTTGGTTGAACCATATATAGTAATTTTCTGGACTTTCAAAACATAGTTTTAATTTCTAGTATATAATAAGTAATACTGTACAGCATAGAAGAGAGACCCTTGTGCTCTTCGAAAACTTACACTTCTGCGTCATTCATGCATCTTTATAACAACTAATTAATTAACTATATTGTGCAGCTCAACACACAAATCCAGTTGGGAGCGACAGGGGAACTTGCGGTTGCCTCAAGATGCTACCCAGTTCGCCTCAATGCAAGCGCAATACTTGCTTCTGCTGTTTATATTACCATGGCGGCCCTTACACGCTATGCTTCGAGACACTGGATAAGTGCAACGCCTCTTGTTATGGGCAAGGACGACTAATAATATAAGGGATGGATATGAGCAGTAAATGTTCATTGCCTAGTAATAGTAAAAGATGTAGGATCACCAACAGGTTTTTAGCTTAATGAAACAATTTATGCTTCTCGATCTGCTCTGTGAGCCCTTTGGGTCTCTCGACTCCACCAAATTCAGCTTCAAAATCCATGTAGTAGGAACTCTGACCTGTGAAACCTGCAAATTCAGTGGCCAAATCCATAGATTTGGTGGACCTCTTGCTCTTCAGGCTGAGCAACTATACTATACGCGCGAATAGACAAAACATATCGATCAAGAACCCACCTTCGGCGGAACCTCCTCGTCGCCGACCCTGCCTTGCGCTTGTCCCGTGCGTCCTAGTGCCTCCGCCGCCGCATCTTTTTATAGGAATCCTGCACCCAAAAGAGGGCCAGGCAGCGTGGCCACGTCGTCTGCTTTTCGAGGCCGTTCAATCGGGCGCGCGGACGGTCCAGATCGGACGAGCAACGGTCATTTTGCCAAAAAAAACCCTTATTTTTTTTTCGAAAATCAACCCGCACTCCAGAGGCCCTCTCAGTATATTTTTCAAAAAACATCTAAGATTATTTCGAAATCAACCCGCAGTCTAGATCGGATGGGCTACGGTTTTTTTTACAAACAAGACCTTCTCTTTATCGAAAATCAACCCGCGCTCCAGAGACCCTCTCAACAATTTTTACGAAAACCTCCTCAGGTTTTTCTTGAAATCAACATTTAAGCCACCTTTGATTATATCTCTTTTAAAAAAATAAATTAGCTGAAACTTTAAAATTGCATAGTAAATTACAGAAAAATTGTAAATTAGAAAATCAAGTTGATCTGAAACCCTCACGAGTAGAACTATGCAGTGCATCCATAATATGGCATGTTTTAGTAAGAATTTTTTCATATAAACTTTTACCTATGCTTTTTAGAGGTAAATAAAATTATACCTTCATGATGATAAAGTCTCGAAAATACATAAAAATCATAAAATGAAAAAAAAATTGTTGAGTTTCTCATCACTACACCTATATTCTTATTGCCACTGGCCTAATCAAAAGGGAAGGCGCGGCAAAGCCACGTCGGCGTTTCTACTAAATACCAAACACAAAAATTGGATCATGAATGGACCATTTCACATGCACAGCTAGTTCCATTAAGAAAATGACCGAGCCTGGGATGCTAATGTCAGTAAAACTAGTTGTCCCACCTTCAGGATCATGAATGTCAGCGGTAGCTTTTTTTTTTTACGAATTACACAAGTACAGATGCAGACGCTCAACACGTACGCATACTTAGCCCTATGAACACACGTACGCAAACCCTACCCCTATAAGCACCTCCGAAAGACTGTGCCGGCACATTTCGATATCAACGGAGTCACCACGGGCGCCTCGCTGTCGATGGGAACGTCGTCTACTATTGAAAGCACAATGCTGTTAAATCCTAGAATAAATTTAGGAAAATACGAGCATCCGTGCCAAGTCGGGGACCTGGGTGGTTGGCAACTTGTCATGTTAATGTCTAATGAATTTGGCAATCAAACTATCGTTGTCAGATATACGATCACATAGCATCCTAATGTTGTGCTTAATGCACAACAACTTGCACATAGAACATGTACACTAAACCAGTCGCTAAAACTTGCAGTTTTGTCTAAAACTAAACTAAACTAGTAAACTGCCATAAAAGTAGCAATCATATCATTTACTATTAGCACCTAAAATTTTAAGACAGAGAACACAATGAGACCACATTATTCATCCCAAGTTCCCAACTTACTATACGCACGGTATCTCTAAAAAAGCTATACTATAGAACGAATCCACAACATATCGATCAACAACGCACCTCCAACAAACATCCTCGCCGCTAACCATGCCCTAGGCTTGTGCCTGTCCAGCGCGTCCTCATGTCTTCGCCGCCGCCTGATCTCCTCTATGACGCCCGCGCAGGACACCTGCCAGTTGAACCGCCGCAGGAGATCCTCCCTGTCCACGTCATCGTCGCCCGCGTCCACCTTCGCGTTGTGGTACCTCGGGTTGGCCATGAGCACCAGGAACATCTGGGAGGGGGCGGAGAGGCACTACTACAGAATTGAACATCGCTTCCGGTTCAAAATCCCCATTAGTGCGGGTTGTTTGAGCCGACACAACCAAAGCGGTAGTGATGAGGCGGCTCATTAGTGCCGGTTTGGAAACCGGCAGTGATTTGGTTTCTAGAAACCGAGGGTGGTGGCGGGGAGCGGCCGCCGCGGGAAGGAAACAAAGGTGGAGTTGGAGGAGAGGTGCAGATGCGACAAGGAGATGAAGGCGGACGCGGAGGTGGTGGTGGCGCGGCCATGGTGGTGGACTGGTGGTGCCGGCCGGCGAAGACGGGTCAGAATAGAGTAGTCAACATGACAGAACAAACCCACCCCAAAGGTCCCCTCGGCTGCACTTCTGCAGCCGCTGCTGTCAGGCTGCTCGATTTGCACAGTGGTTTCTGAGTGACACAGCTGCAGCCAGCAGCCGGAACAACGCTGAAAATCAGTACCGATCAGAGCCCAACTTATTTGTAGAAGGCCCTGGTTGGTGGGCCTGATGGGCTTGAGGTTTCTTCATTAGGCTATGCGCTTTCTCTTTCTTTAGCCCACGGATCAGCCCAGTGCAGCAGAAATCTGCAGTCCGGCAATAATGCTCTTCCGTCAGCATATAGTATTTTTTTTTATGTATGTGTATATCCACTTCAAGTTTATTTTTACACAAAGGTTATCACGGTATGCAGAGACATTATTTATGTATATATAAATATGTTACTTGGTAATGTGGCTGTCATTAACACATTATTATAAAAAGAATGCCATTATTAGCCATGGAATGAGTTGGAAATAAAACACGGTAGTCATCAATGGACACCGGCGCAGAATTGGTCACGACTAAACTCATAGCATCTACTAGATGTAGTCATTTATATTCCACTACAGATATCTGCATTTTGTAGTAATTTTGGAGGATTATTAATCTCAAGCCTAGGAGTTATTAACTATTGCTAATATATAGAATATCTTCACCATCTATATATAGAACATTGTGATTGCTGTCGGACACGCATACCTACACACAGAAACTCCACCATATATACACCGTGATTGCTGTGATGGAGGGAAGAATGGCTACTATAGTCGTTGTGATGCTTATCCTCGGATGTCTCGTGGCTCTCTCACAATGTAAGTGCACATCATAAAATCTGTTGAACTAATACCAATTTTCTGGAATTTTGAAAGATATTTTCTAGTATATATATATATAAAAGAGACCCTTGTGCTAGCTCTTCTAAATATTTATACCCCTCTCTATATGCCTGACGCGTTATTCATCTTATATAACAATTAACACGCAAATCCAGTCGAACCTCCGTGCTATATATTGCCAACAATACAGACCCCGTGCGCAAACTTCCCAAACGATAAGTGCTTCTGCTGTCAAGGCCTTGACGCCCCGCAGAAATTGCTATGCTACAAGACAGAAGACGAATGTGAGAGAAAATGCTCATGCCGAGCACCAGAAAAGCGCGCCGGCACCGGCAATTACTAATAAGTCCTTTTAGATAATGGAAAAGTATTATGATCGACTTCATCCTCCAAAAAGGGAGGAAGCAGACAAAAGGTTGTTACATTTTAACATCAGAGAGAACAATTAATAATTAGAATTATGGATGAATGTGATCAGTAAATGTCCATTTCTCAAGTGATAATAAATATGAGATTGCCAACATGTTCTTAGCTTAATGGGTCAATTTAGCCTTTCATTCTCTATATGTACTGTCGGTTACTTTGGAACTACTAGGCTCCAACAAATTAATTCAGCTCCACGGAGTAAGGATCCAAACATCCTAAATCCATGTAGTAGAAATATATTTTCCACGAGTCTAGTGGCCAAATTCGTGTATTTAGTAGTCCCATAGAGAGCTCCTTAAGGAGTGTTTTTTTTAAAGAAGAAAGCATACATGTCAAGGAGTTCCCGTTTTCCAGCAATCAACCACTTTCTGTTTCGGTATTTCTCCTCCCGCTTCAACTACTGCCCACGCGCCCGCAATCCTCTCCGTTGGCTTTGGTATTGGTATCCACTGATGCCCTTGGATCGCGTAATGGATCCACTAGGCGCACAGGGACTAGCCGGTCACGGCATCTTCGGTATCACGTGTCAGTGAGAAGAAGGCGACACCATGATCTTCGACGCATGTGTGGTACCAACACGGGCGTCGCATCTAAAGGGCTTTTCCTTGAGACATGCTCCTCGATTCTACTTGAGGAGCTTTGCAAAGAGCCAAAAGCAGGGCAGCACTACTGGAAACGCACATTGTCGTGCCAGCGAAATAATCGATAGGAAAATTAGCATACTGACAGGAACATAATTCTCTAACAACGTACCAACAGAAAGTTACCAACAGAGCTAGTCACGAGAGTTTAACAGAAAGTTACCAATAGAGCTGGTCACGAGATTTTAACATAGGGTTATGCTAAATTTCCGGGAGAGGGGGAGCCGACCGACGGACCCCCCGACCGATCTCTTAGATCATTCGAGGGCTCAGGGGCTATACCCATCGGGTACGCTCGCACGCATCCTCTAAAAGGAGTCGGGGAAGAGCCCGAGCACGCTCGGGCCCACTGCTAGGGGCTCGGGGCTCACTAAAGCCTGGATCGCCGAAAGTCGCCGGGCAGCGAGCCTGCTCTCCAACCTAGCGCATATCCGAACTAGTGCTCAAGTAACGGATCGACGTCCCGAGCCATGGGCAACCAGCCAGCGCGCCGGCACTGGCGGCGTACGGAGATGCCACATCGTCCCGGCTGTTCAACGGGAGGGAGGCCCTGTCGGCGACTCCTTCGACAGGGTCACGCAACTAGCGTGATACAACAAGACAATGGACTCCAACAGCTCCAGGGGCAAAGGGCTCTAGGGCCCACTCGTCAGCCCCTCTAAGCGGGGGCTCCTTGCTAGCCAAGGAAGCCTCAACAAGGTTCACCCAAGGGAGGCCGCGCCGCAGCAAATAGCTCCTGACGGTTAAGAGCCGGACGGTGGCAGCGACGCGTCGAGGCGGTTCTTGACTCTGTCGACTCCTCCCTACGCGACGAAGAGGGGTGCATCAACACCGCGGCAGCACTAAAACCCAAAGCCGCAGGACTTTGCACCGTTAAGTTGGCCTGCTTGTATTGTTGTACATTTTCTTTAATAGTTAACTCCAGTTGCAAGGGTTGTATGAGTGAATGTTGAAAGATTTGTCGGTTGCGCTCTTTTGAAACATTCAGAAAAAAAACTGTTAATCCATTGAAATCTCGCCGTCGTCTTTCTGGATTAGAATAATGACTTATTGATGCTAATTCATGCGATGAGCTTTTTACTAATAGTGGAAGGAATTGGTTTTACTTTTGTCCCTGTGTGTTATTACCTGCTGTACCGTCGTAATCAAGTCAAGGGTCTCGACGAGATATGACTGAGTATGGCATGTCTGTGGTAGCCGCCTGCCAGTCGTGCAGACTGTACTGCTTCTTCCATGGGTTGCAATAGTCAATCATGGGTTGCGATAGTCAATAATTAATGGCAGGGGCGGATGCAGTTTTATACGTAGAAAAACCGTACGGTTGGACTCCGGACCGGAAATCGCTGAATCGCAATCGCAATCGCTGCCGCATCCGCGCATGAGCCCTTTCTCCTGTTGCCCGCGTGCCCCCGTCGGCCGTCGGTCGTCGGCGACTGGTGCGGAGGTCGGTGATCGGAGCCCTCACTCCTAGAGCTCTGCTGCCCTAGTTTCTAGCCTGCAAGATCGACCGACCCCCGTTGGAGCAATGGAGCCTCGAGGCCTGGGGAGCGTACAACAGCCTTCGGCTGGGCTTGTTTGGCTGCGCTTATACGATCGTGGATTATAAGTTGAAATAATATTTTTTTTATATCAAACTAGCCGGCAATACTTTTGGTTTATAATCCGAGCTGAAATGAACAGGCTGCTTAGATCTCAGGTATTGACGGCTGCCCTGTCTCCATAATGCACTTTTTAATTAGATCATCGATCTATCAACTATCATGCATCCATGTCGCAGTTGTTTGGCGTCTTTCCCGATCTTCTCTACAAGCCACACAAGACGTGAGCTAATGTAGGTGCATGGTGCTTAATTTGTACCCAATTTAGCTAGGACGGAACTGATCTTATCATCAATTGCTAGGTTTTTTTTAAGCATGGATGACTCGTGAGCACAGAAATATGGCAAGTAGAAAGTGTTAGTTGATCTCCACCAATAGACCCAACGGCCTATTGGGCCCTTGCCTCTGCTCCCTGATCGGGGGAGCCCAACCCTAACTGGTTGGTGAGCCCCTGTCGCACAGCACATAAATAGAGGAGTGGGGACTGGGCTCAAGAAACAAGGTTCGCCGGAGCCGCCACACCCACCAAAGAAAACCCTAATCCGATCTAAAGACGTCTTTGCCAATGACGGATGAGCCCGCCACCACCGCCGTCGCTCCCATCAGCAGGGCCACCATCGGACCACTACAATGACCAAGATCGACTTCACCTCCTCGCCACTCGACGTCTACTACATCGGGACGGCATCGGGCGTCTCACGCTTGCCGATCTTGCGCCGCAATGAGAGGCAGCAAGGAGCCTAACCGGATCTCTCGGGTCACAAAGTGAGGTACACACATTCGATCCTAACAATGGTACGAGAGCCGCTTGCCTCTGTAATCCTAACCCTAACCGGGTAAAAAGAAAAAGGAAAAGGGACCGGTGGCGGAGGTCACTGGAACCCCGTCACCACCGCCATCACAGCGGGAAAAGTGCCGCACCGACACGGCAAGAAAAGAAAAAGAATGAACACTCCCTAACCCTAACCCTAATTGGGTTAAAGAAAGGGGAAAAAAAGAAAGGTTTCGCCCTTAAGACGAACAGCAGAGCGAACCCTAAATCCAAAAGAGAAAAGAAATAAAAGAAAAGAAAGGAAATTCAAAAGAAGAGAAAAGAACAGGGGTCGGCACACAAACCCTAACCCCAATCGGTCAAACAAAGAAAAGAAAACAA